TGTGAAGTTCATGGTACGAAAATCCTTAATTTTAAAAAGTACCTGCTGTGTGTGTGTAACTGTCACCCACAGTCAGGTGTCCTGATCTTCTGTGTCGTCCCTCGTGTGTGTAACTGTCGCCCACAGTCAGCGAGGTGTCCTGATCTTCTGTGTCGTCCCTGGTGCTCCTGTGTAATTAGCCGAGAGACTAATGAGCCTGTGCCACTCTAACAACGCTGTCTTTTATTAGATCTGATAACGACACCATATGAAAGAGAATCTCAGGCTCTGTATTAAGTCCGAAACAAAGATAAATGTCTGAAATTTCAAGCTCTGTCCTTGGTGGACGTCCTGGTTGAAGAGAAGAGACTGTGGCTTTGAGAACATTTTGTTTTTATTTACATGCCGGATTGTGTAAAATGCATTTTACTACAGATATACTATGTGAACTCAATTTGTTACTCTGGATGTACGGTAAATATTCAGAAGAGTTGAACTATATGTAAAACAATAATAACGTAAATAATAACCACACACTTTTCCATTAGCGCCTGCTAACGTTCCTTCTATTATACTGTGATTTCAATTATAGCAGCACAATAATAACTGCCAGTCTCCATAGGGGCTGGGGGGTTACACATAATTACCCTGCAGGGCAGGATGTATGCAGACTCAAAACAGACATTATAATATACAGTGATGCAGTAATACCATCTCGCAGCTGTAATACTTAACACCCAAAATAATACTATGGAGTACGGAGTAGTATTTAAGATAAGACCACCTTATTGGAATGGCATTTATCCATTCCGCTTTTCATGGTTTGTCGAGCAAAGAAAAATTATATGCAATAAATAAATAGTAGTTTTCAGCCCAATTGAGTGAATACTACTACTAATAATAATAATAATTCAATTAAGTGAATACTACTACTACTACTACTAATATATTTTTTTTCTCACGAGACATCACTAGTGTTTGTACTTGTGGCAACATGAAACCATTTTGTTTCTGTCTTCAAACTGTGGTTTCAGCGCTGTTCCAAGCAGATGTGTCAGATTCAGACAATTAGGTGCAGCTTTGTTTCCTGTCTGTCATGTCTGACTGAACCTGGAGAAGATCTAGCTGAGCCTTCAGTCTAATGATGATCTCCCATGGCAGCTTCTGTCTCAGGCAGCTGTGGGAGAAGCCGTACAGAGCGTTGACCTATACATCATTCTGAGTGAAGTGTGGCTGAAAAGTTATGACCTGAATCCACTTCCTGACTGTTGAAAAAAACTCTCATTCTAGAAAAGGCAAAAACTTTAGTCATGCATTTTTTATTATTTTTTTAGAATTTTATTTGGTGGACTTTTGGTCGTCACGTTGTTGGAGACACAGAAGGCCTGAATCTGAAATTTCAGACTGTTTCAGTTTCAAACACCGTCAGGAGAACCAATCTGAGTGGGTGGGCTGCAGTGCTGAACCCATACAAGCTGCCAGTTTCCACATGACATTGGAAAAAAAAAACCCAGTTTATTATCCCACGTCTGTTGTCTCCGTGCTCCGCGGTGACACAAGGCGCCCATAATAGAAGAACAAGTGGTGCTGATTGTTTTGTCTGCAGTAAAATTTGATCTTGCACGAGTTAGTGTGTGTGTGTGAGTGTGTGTGTGTGTGTGCACGGTCGACATGCGCTTGATTCTTTTAATCTGAGCGATTTGCATCACACTCCATTTGCTGTTTGAAAGGAAAACAAGCCCCAGGGCACACAGATAAAATGTGCACATGTAAAAGTTCAGTTATTCAGTCAAACGTTTCCCAAAATGTATTTACCCCAACAGACAATGGGCAACAATATTACTATTATATTGTAATATTAAAGAATGGAAACCACTGTGGCAGATGGGGGAAGTGTATATTACATATACAGGGTCTATACATCTGAGCAAAAAGTGGAGACCAACTGAACCTCATCTGTAGTTGTGATTTTTTTGTGTGAACATTAAACTGATTATATTAATATACCAGGTTGAGAAGTTGTTGCTATAAATTTTTTTCTTTTTCTCAACCGTTTCCTTTTCTGCACTGATGTCCAGGATCGTAATTGGGAAATGATCTCTAATCCGAATAAAGAAAATAAATAAGAAAAAAAAATTCCACCCAATCCCTGCAAACGAGTCTGAACATTTTTTTTACTGGTGAAGGCAATAACGTCTGGCTGTGTGAGTGACAGAACGAGAGATAACAGGCAAATTTACCGACATATTTGCTTTTTTTTTCATCCCCGGAAAGCTGGTCTGTTTACTTTAGAGAGAAAAAGGCACAGGGAGAAAGTGACAGAGATGAGGATGAATGTAGGGTGAGAGGGTGGGGGTTCTGTGAGGGCGGCGCGGAGAGTGTGAAGGGGGGGGGTGTCTGGGGGTGACAGTGAGAGATGGGGGGTGCGGTGATGGGGGTGCGGTGTAATGTAGGTCCCAGGCTGAACTGTAATCCTTAAGTCCTGGGACAAAGGACGTAATAGAAAAACACACAAACAAGGACACACATGGACATTGTTGTTTTGTGTATATACTGTCGTTGACTGATGTCTCTTCATCATGATAAAGTGTCCTCTGCAGAATTCTGCTAAATTCCTGCAAATGAAGGTTAGTTGTTGTGATGTGTGTATTTTTTCACTCTTAGTTTTAGAGAAACTGTTGGAGATTTGTTTTTATCCACGTGGCTTTTTCGAGGCCTTCGATCTTAAGGTATTTTGTAAAATAAGCGTCTGTTTTACTGCAGGTTTACTTTGGTGTATTGTGATAATCTGTGTTTAAACTGTAGTTTGTTGTTTATGGAAATCTTCTTTCTATAGCGTGCAGTCATTTTCACTCCTCTTCAGGCGTAGACCTAGAACTTCAGAATGAGAACGTGCAGCAGCACGGTTAGAAAATATGATGACTTACTTCATAAATGTTTGGGAAATTGTCTTATTGTCGCTGTAGTCGAGGTTTTTGCAAAGCGTTACATTTATGTTTTATGACTGAAGGTCAAAGTTGTTTCATTTACAAAAAAGCCTGGAGGTCCCTGTAACTTTTGTGACATCGCTGAGGAGGATCATTTTAGATTTACATTTTCTAAAAATACCAACACAATCCACCTTGTAATCATGCAGGATCACACGTCTGGATTTGATCATATACACTGACATTCCCAGACTCTGGATAACACATCCTCTAACCAGGAATTAGTGGTGCCTCTGGGCAAAACACCACTGTCTTTTATTTACATTGAAGCTCTTGAGTTTGGGCCTTTGCCTTCCTCTTCCCTCCTCACCACCCCAGAACAGACTTGATTTCCTTTGTGAAATTTAAATTAATATGAAAAAGGGATATTGGAGAAGATTCTAAATTTCCCAACAAAGTATGAGAATGATCAGGAATGATCGCCTGTTGTCTTGTTCACTTTACTGTTTTTGTCTGTATGGTCTTTGCATGTTCTCCCCATTTGTGCATCATTTTAATGAATCTCCTCGCTCATTACAAAACATGGTTAGGTTAAATCACAAACTCAAGGCCCGGGGGCCAAATGTGGCCCGCCAAGCCGTTTTGTGTGGCCCGCGGGAGCTTAACAAGCATTTAGTAAAGTCAACGCA